TCTTTTCCTGGGCCCACAGGAGAATCTGATGGGCCTGCTTGCAAAGGTGACGTGACCTCAGACCCCCCTGATGGTTGATATATGAAACCACTGACGTGTTGTCCGTACGGACCAACACACGATGGCCTCTCAGGTCTGGCAGGAAATATTTGAGAGCTCGAAATACCGCCATCATCTCCAAACGATTTATGTGCCAGGACAGATGATGGTCCTGCCAAAGCCCTTGCGCCGAGCGGCCACTCATGACCGCCCCCCATCCCGTGAGGGAAGCATCCGTCGAAAGCGTGACGCGTCGACAAGAAGCCCCCAGCACTGGGCCCTGGGCGAGGAACCAAGGTTTCTTCCACATGACCAAAGCACGAAGGCATAGCCGCGTGACCTTGATCTTGCGGAACGGATTTCCCCTCGGAGAAAACCCCTTGGTTCTGAGCCACCACTGCAGGGGTCTCATGTACAGCAGGCCAAAAGTAATCACGTTGGACGCTGCTGCCATGAGCCCCAACAGTCTCTGAAACTGTTTCACAGTGAGTGACTGGCCTAGTTTCACATTTTTTACGGCTGAGAGAATCGCAGAGATGCGAGCAGGAGATAAACGAGCCTGCATTGTGGTCGAATCCCAAATTACACCTAAAAAAGTGGTCCTCTGAGTAGGGAGGAGAACACTCTTCTTGGTGTTGAGCCGCAACCCCAACTCCTTTATGTGAGACAGAACGACATCTCGATGCCGAACCGCCAACTGCTCTGACTGAGCTAAAATCAACCAATCGTCGATATAATTTAAAACGCGAATGCCCTGGAGTCTCAAGGGAGCCAGCGCTGCATCCACGCATTTTGTAAAGGTGCGGGGTGATAAACCTAGGCCAAACGGCAGAACCTGATACTGGTATGCTTCGCCCCCGAAAGCGAACCTCAGGAACTTCCTGTGATGAGGATGGATAGATACATGGAAGTAAGCGTCTTTCAGGTCTATTGTGACAAACCAGTCCTCGGACTGAATCTGTGAAACAATTTGCTTGAGTGTGAGCATCCTGAACTTGAGTTTCTGAACTCTGCTGTTTAATTGGCGCAGATCTAGAATAGGACGCAACCCTCCATCCTTTTTCGGAACAATGAAATAACGGCTGTAAAACCCTGACTCTCTGTTGGGAGGAGGCACCCTCTCTATTGCTCCTTTTTTTAGAAGTGTCAGAACTTCCTGCTCCATAACCAGAGCCTGCTGTGAGTCCACCACTGTGGGAAGGACCCCTTGAAATCTGGGCGGACGAGAACCGAACTGAATTCTGTAACCCTTTTCTATTATGTGCAGGACCCATAAAGAAATATTTGGCAGAAGTTTCCACGCTGCCAGAAATTCTGATAAGGGAACCAGTCTCTCGAGACTGGCCTCTGGGTTTGATTGAACAATCATTTCGGCGCCCTGAATCGGCGAACCGGCAGGGAACAACCGAACTGACCGTTCTACAACCCTCCTCAGAGGATTGCACGGGGACGCTGACACCTCGGTGCCCTGAAACGGCGAACCGGCAGGGAACAACCGACGTGGCAACGCTGCGACTCTCCTCGGAGAATCGCCCCCCGGAGGGCGCCAAAGAGAAACGGTTCCTCGGAATCGTTCCTCCTTGGAGGGGACCACCCTCAGAAGCCTGGCACACTTGGCGTCAGGACTTCTTCTTAGACCAGGCTCTCTTGGAGATGACATTCCTCAGATCCTGTCTACCCACAACAGGCCTGGACTGCGAACGCCACTCGGGAACCCCAGACTGTGGAGGAGCCCGAGCAGCGACGCTCTGTTTCTGCTGAAATCGGTGTGCGGAGCTCGTAGACGGACGAGGCTGCTCAATTTTCACATTACGTGCAGCCTCGGGGACACTGGACCGGCGAGGAAGAAACCTCTGAAACGCAGCTGCTTGTTTTTTATTTTCTTGAAACCTATCGACAACACAATTTATAGCATCGCCGAACAGACTTGTAGGTGAAAGCGGTGCGTCCAGAAGAACAGATCTATCTTTATCTTTAATTTCAGAAAGGTTCAACCATAAATGACGTTCCGTGGCCACCAGGGCTGCCATAGAACGGCCCACAGATTTAGCCGTCTCCTTGGTGGCCCGGAGAGATAGATCAGTAGTGCGACGTAGTTCACGAACAGTATCAGCACTAACTTCCTCACATTGATCCATGTCCTTCAGCAGGTCAGCCTGATAAGCTTGTAATATTGACATAGTATGTAAGCAAGCTGCAGCCTGACCTGCTGCCGAATACGCTTTACCCACCAGTAAAGATGTATTTTTTAATGGTCTGGTGGGTAACGTCGGGGCTTTCAGTGATGACGCTGACTCGGGGGAGAGATAGCTCGCGAGCGTCTCTTCCGCACGAGGCATCGTCAAATAACCATAATCATCAATACCTCTAACTTTGCTGTAATTATTAGTTTGAGGATTATGAACTCTGAAAGACGCCGGTTTATTCCAAGATCTGGACACCTCAGTGTGAAGATCAGGAAAAAACGGGAGTTCCCGACGAGGAGGTCGTGATCTAGATGGTAAAAATCGTTCATCTAAAAGACTCTTTCTTGATTCAACATCAATATCATCAGCTGGCCACTCAATATTTAATTTAGTAACAGCACGAGATAAAACCTCCATAAGCTCCTCATCAGCAGGGGTATGAGCTGGCGAAAACTCAAATTCCCCCATATCCACGACATCCAGTTCCTCAGAACTGGATAGCCGCAACAGTGGTGTCTCAGCCTGGGGAGGAGAAACCGCAGAGCGGGCTCCTTCCTGGGCTGGGACACCGGATCCAGCAGGTAAGGGCTGAGAAAGGGCTGGGCCCGTCTCAAACCCCGCTACTAGATCCATATGTGAACCCCAAGATGAACGCCGCCGCAGTGCCTCGGCAGCTGCGGGACCCGCACCTCGGGGAACACGAACCGAACCATCATCATCAAAGAATGCCCGGCGAGAGCGGAGAGTTTTCATTGACAAACTCATGCAATGCTCGCAGTCAGCCCCCTCGAGGACCGACTGGGCATGCTCCACCCCCAAACAAGCAACACACATCTGATGTGTGTCCCCACCCGTAATGAAACGAGGGCAAGGGACAACACAACGTTTGTAATCTTGCTTGCTCGCCATAGTGATATATATATATATGCAATGATCGGACAGACAACAATAAATAGACAAGGACAGAGTCACAGAGAGCGCTTACTGAAGACAACAGAAGCTGTCGCGGTCTGTTTTCAAGGGTGCTTTATAGTTTCCTGGTCTATGACGTCACCTATGACGTATCGGGCTTCCATTGGACTGATTTTACACGTGCTTCATGACGCAATCACGCAGAGCGTTCCCACCGCGTCTCAAACGCAGCTCGAAGTTCCCTTGAAAGGGAACTCAAATCATACATTGACTAGATATTAACATTTTGTTAACTCTGGTTTTTGACTACAGTCATTCTCATGGGTCTTCTTGACTCAAAAAGCTTTGTGAATGTGTTGTGTATAATTATTGTGTAACGTGAATCTTTAGTTTACACTTCAGTCATAAAACATGAATTATAGAACCATTTTAATAAAAAAAGGTTCTTTGCTCTCCAAGGGTTCTACATAGAACCATTTTGTCGGTAAAGGGTTCTATTGGCCAAGTATGGAACCCCAGGGTTCTATATAGAACCCCGAGGAACCCTTTTTTTTAAGAGTGTTGGTTCAACTGCAAACCAAAATAAACCCCAGTAAGTCTTGGGCTTTTCAAAGCAGCGTGGAAAACAACAAACTGAATCCAGCCACCACAACTTTCAAGCCCCTGCCCCTTTTGTCTCAAAATGTATTGTGCCCTTTTCTAATAATTGTAAATAATAATTATTATTATAAATATTATAATAAATAACAATACACTTACACACCCTTGCCACTAACAATACTAATACAAACAAATATTATATAAAAAAAAACATTTGGCGGAGAAGTGGTAGGCAGAGTTTCCTTTGCAGAATTTCTTCGAAATTCGTTTTTTTTTTTAATGAAGAATGTTCAGCAGTACATGTCTTGGTGATCTATCTGCTTGTTTGGGGGACTGTATTGTCCTATTGTCTTCCTATAGTCTCTGTGTGAGGATTATCTATGTCTATTAATGCAACAGCATGTTTTAAGAACTCTTGGAACCAGGCATGAGTGTTGGCTTGTATTGTATCATTCTTCTTGTTCCTACTTTGTCGGGGGGATCTACACCACCAAGACCAAATACATTAATTGCTATATTCACTAATATGCTGGGCCCTTTACATTCAATTTGCAAGCAATCACATAATTACTGCATGGCACGAGCTGATCGGCCTCTGTTGATCCTGCAGTCTAGCTCAACATTTAAATACTCTGGTTCATTGTTTGCTGTAAGCTAGTCCTGCAGCATGCCATCAGTTCCTTTGAAATCCACCACCTGCCTAGATCTGCTACGGGATTTATGTATTTTTCTGTATGCTGCTGCTGCATGAATATAGCATATCAACAGCAGCAGAAACAACGTAGTAGATCTAGAATGCATTGCCAAGACACAATACATTAACATTGCCATATTCAATAACATGCTAAAACTATTCTGAGAGTTGTCATGATTTAAATAGTATTATTTTATATTAAAGGGAAAGTTTAATTTAAAAAAAATTATTCTGTTATCATTTACTCACACTCATGTCATGAAAAAAGAACAAAAGAAAGCCATACAGGTTTAAAACGACATGAATAAAGACCAAAATCTCCTGGAAATGTGTTCCGTAAAAGGTTCTCTAGGTCAACAGAATCCATTTTCAGATGTACTGGTGATATGCAGCTTAACCACAAATCCCATCTGCCGGCATGACAATTTATCAATACCTCAAAAGGAAGACCATTAACACCAGAGGCCATTAAGTTGACACGGAAAACTGATCTATGACCATGCTTCCCCAAACCTTAGCCTTACATACCACCAAGCAAAATTGGTTTCAGATCAGTTATGGAGACTTACCTGTAAGATTTGTGGAGAGTAGGAGCAGAGCGTCGCAGGTCAGGTCAGCTGTTGCCCTGGAGATTAGTGTAATCCAGATGGTCAACACCTGCAACGGTGGTGCAAAAAAAAAAAAAGGAAATTTGTGGGGGGACAACAAAAGTGTGGCTTTAGCATCCATCTGGACACATAACAAGACACGGCATACAATGAAATAGTAAAGCAGGTCAACATCTGTCTTATGATAATGCAGGTGCGCCCGGGGACACTGTTGTGCTTCTGAAGTCAAACACTAGCTAGACTGACATTTAAGACGTGAAACTTTACTTTCTTACTGCAGCTGGGTGATATGGACAAAAACATTATCACAATATTTTATCATTTGATACTGATATTTATCACAATAGTCATTTCACACCATTAACCATTAACGTGGAAGGAAATTTCACATATTTGTCAGACCTCAAACAAATAGTTTACAAGTAAAAACTTCACAGAATAAGCTCATTTTATTTATTTATTTATAATTTAGGGCCCCATGAAATCAGTTGTATTGTTTTCAAATTGTGTGTTTTCCTTTTTTAAATTTAATACAAGTGTATCATTAAAATTAAAGTAATTATTTCATTAAACGTTAACAATTTAATATAATATTAATATATATAGGACAACTTTGATTAACTTTTTGATCCACAGTCAAATGTTGACTACTGTATATATATATATATATATATATATATATATATAAATATGTAATCAAATGAAAATATGTAAATTCATTTGCATTTCTGTTTTTGTCAAATAAGGACAATAGAACAATATACTGTATAAAAACATGGAAAATATGAATAAAATGTATTGGTTGTATGATGTTCCTTAAAAATTAATTATTATTATTATTGTTGTTGGTAATATTGATGTATTGCCCTAACTGTATGTTTCTTGCACTTTAAAAGGTTACATTTCAGTCAGACTTAAACAGTAATTCATCTTTTAAAACTGTCATGTAAACCCTTCATTCCAACTGATTTCAGACCAGTTGGTTTTTTTAAAGTCAGACTAAACCGTGGCAAATATCTACTACAATGTTGAGTCTGATGTTTAATATATTTATACACAATATTTTTGACTCAGTTACTTATTTTATGTGTATTTTTTAAAGGACGTTCAGGAAATGAGAGGGAAAATCACAGACGTGACCCTTGTGCTCAAACATCACGCTGGCTAAATGATTCCCTGTAACTGAGCTAAATGCGATTTATATTTTTCAAGCAGAATCCATTAGACATATTTTACTTAACCACAGCTTTAAGACTAATGGCTCTTTAAATGGCAAGAGAGACAGGAGAGATTCTGCCCATGTTTGATTTGCTGTTATGAGACTGCATAAGCAGGCCATCTCTAATTCATAGCCCTGGATACAGAGGTTTCGAGGAAAGCAAATACCCTTAACAGCATACAAAGAAAACACACACACACACACACACACACACACACACACACACACACACACACACACACACACACACACACACACACACACACACACACACACACACACACACACACACACACACACACACACACACACACACACACACACACAATAGGGATAAATGAAGTGATATCACCTTCTTAAAATAGAAAGGGACAGCAGCCTATGACTGAATCCAACACTGCCCTTCCATTCTCAGAGGGATTGAGTCATAAAGTTTGCAGGCCCCGCATGGCCACATGACCTCGAAAAGCTTTCAGGTCGAGCTGGATGATCCATCCACACCCCATAATGAAACCATGAAAATTTACACCATCACCACAAACGCATTATGTCAACGGAAAGCAGCATTGTCTTGCAGAGTGAGGACTTTCAACTTAGCGCTACAATTTTTACTAGCTGTTTAAAAATGACTGAAAGTTCCCAGTGGCATGAGGTGAACAGCCTGCCTTCTGCTGTCTACTTGTCTACTGGTCTCTGACCTCAGTCACATGAGGACAGGTTTACAGAGTTCAGTGTTGACAGCTCTAAAGATCGTCTACAGCACATACTCAAACTAGCGAGGGACTGAGGAGGGAAAAACGGAAGAAATACAGCCCCTGGTGTATTTTATGAGCTGGCAGACTAACACTCATCTCGCTGGTCAGCTGCTGACTCACTTGGCAGTAATCTTCTTGAAGCCTTGAACTGCCTTTTCCTCGGGTCCTTCCAGAAACATCCCAAATGCTCTTGCTATTTTTTTTCTGGCTCTCCCAATCCATTTGCTGTCTCTGTCACAGACCTCATCCTGGCTTGCTTGTTCCGCAAGGGTGCTGAAGGCTGGCTTTGTGTCGAGGGACGGTTGTGTCTTCAGACTTTCTTGTCACTTTCACAACAGTTTCACTTCATCAACCTCAGCCACCATCACTGTAGGGCCATTGTAGAACCCATGTGCTGGACAGGATTACCCAGGGCTTCAACCCATACTGTACACACACACAAAAACTTGACAAACCGCTAGAGAGCTTCATGCTGACATGACCAGCAGGGGAGTAACTAACTAAAAATAGTGACGCTACTAATTTAACAACATATTTCAGTAGCCTGAAGGTACTTCAGCTGTTCATAATAGTGTAACTTGTCCAGTAACAATCCTTCACTTTTGAAGCATTTAGAATCTGATTCATTTTAGCAATTCAGCCATTTAAGTGAATCATTTAAATGAACTAATTCAAACAAATGACTCACGACTTCCTGCAAAGATGCCAGCCTAGATAAAGAAAATAATATATTTAGTTAAATGCTGCTGTTTATCCATCTTTTTTATTATTATTATTTATATATAAAAAAAACGTTTTGGTAGTTTGTAATTACTTGTGAATAAATAAAATAGACAACAAAAAATGTGTATGAAAGGGATAAAACATAAATCTAACACATAAACAAACCAATAAATACAAATTTGAAAGTGTTAAAATGCATAAAATATAAAAAGAATTTAAATGCAAGACAAGACAAGTGCAAGACAATGGGTTTTTATTAAGTAAAAAATTAAAACAAAAACTACCCCGCAGGGGAAACCAAGACAGGTAGCAAGACTTTACAGACTGGACTTGGCAGGAAACAAGAAACATGAGGTTACCTTAGACAACAAACCAGCACATGACTGAAAAGACAAGGAGAATAAATAGGGAGAGCAAACAAAGCAGGTAACGAGGGAGGACAGATGGGGCAAATGAATCAATAATCAGGTAACAAGATGGACGGGGTTAGACAATCAACAGAATAGGCTTGTCATGTTTCTTTGTGACATGTGCTCACACCAAACATGACAAAAAAAAACAAGCACATGTCCAGTAAAACAAATCACAAGCCATGTGCTCACACAAAACGAGACATGAACAAAACAGGAGTGTCAGGGCTCTGTCACAAAACCAAAAAATAAGCTGTGTCCCAATTCAGGGGCTGCATCCTCCAAAGGCCGTATTTGAAGACCGATTGCGTCACAGCGGCATGACGAAGGCTGTCCCAATAGGCTTTATGCCGAGCGTCACGTGACCAAACCGGAAAACGGGTCTCATTGCATCCGCTTGTCAGAGAAAGTGTTAACGGCCGTAAGAACTAACTCCGATATCTATGGATTTTTAAGGTAATCAGCTAACCTACTAAGTTCACTTTGTTATTGGTGTTTTATGCTATTTAAATATCTAAACGTTAGTGTGAAGAAGAAAAATTAAAAAACGTTTAAATATCAATCTGCACATGCACATTGGTTATGCTCATTTTTGCTTGCTCCTTTTAAGTTATCTTGAGTAAAACCGCAAAAAAAATCATGAAGCACATACAAACGACCTGAATCGGAAGCGATGTGATCTGTTTTCCGGCTTGGTCACATGACGCTCGGCATAAAGCCTATTCAAAGGATCTTTCTAATGTGGCCTACTGTCAGTGTTGCCAAGTCCGAGGTTTTCCCGCGCAATTCAGATACTTTTACGTTGTTGCCGCGGGTAAACATTTTTTCCGTGGGTTGAGTTCCACCCCCCAAGTACAATTTGACGCTCCAAAACATCCCCAATTCGGCCGCCTGGTGATGGAGAAGAGCCGATGGGTTTTATGGGCTACTTTTGTTGCACATACCTGGCAACCCTGCCTACCGTCTTTCTTTCACCGGCCGCGAAGGATAGAACAAGGAACCAGCACCAGCCAAGAGAAAACGAGACAGAGAGGATGAGCTGATCGAGATATTTAGGGAGCACATGAAGTTTCAGAGAGACAGAGCAGGGAGAAAATGGACAGAGTGTTTTCTCTTCTTGACAGATTGGTAGAGAAATAAACTTGTGGTTATGTGAATTAAAATGAGTAAATTAAACTGCACCAGCTAGATGAGCACCAAATTAGCACTAATCATCATAAACAAGCTATAACCAGTATATACATTCATATACGCCTAATTTGATCTTTTTAGCAAGGAGAACACCAGTGTATTTTGATCTCGTTCGAAAGAACAGTGCAAAACACACATTACTGTCTCAAATATTCTCAAAACTCCACAGTCTCCACAGGGAGGCTCTTAGACATATCTCTGATGCTTCTCCTCAGACATGGGCGTAGGTTTGGTCTCAGCTTTGGTGGGGACATCCCCCCCCCCCCCGGGAATTATTTTGTTGTAAGATAAGTAACAGTGCTTTAATGGCGATTTCCTTTGTCATTTCAGACTGCTGGCAATACAGAATATCACATAAGTGAATCTACTTCATCTCATTATATTGTATCCTGACCCCGATACACCATCCTGTATACTGTCAATAAAGAGCAAAAATACACTCTCAAACAATAAAAACCTGAGACTGTGTAATGCTGAACAACCAAACATTTTATTTAACATAAATTATTATGTACATTAGTATTTACACTAACAAAAAATACTGTCACAAGGAAGTACTTTCAGAACTTGTGGAGCAAAACAAATCTAAATAAATAAATATAATAACCTTTTTCTATTATAAACACTTTTTACCCTCCAGTACCTCTAACAAATACTCATACTCACACTCACGTTAATACCTGGGTGATACACACGTGTGATACACACATATCATAGTATGCATTCAACACATCATGTTTATATTTCAAAG